CTCACATTTGCACAGTGAGTCTAACTATCTTCTCCAAGAAACAACCGTAGGACCAGAACTAAACACAGTATATTGCTAAAAATTAAGTTTCTACTTGATGGAATGACGTGCTCATTAAACTGTAGGATCCTTTCAGATTTCTCTATGTAATATTAAAAGACTACTTTAGATGGATTCACCAATGGGCAGCAGTTGTCAACAACTTGACAAAAATTTCTAAAGACATTTTAAAAATAGAAGAGTTGTTAAAATCTTAAATATTTTTATCTAAATACATTATATAAATGGTTTTGGTTCTTGTTATCTTAGCAACTGAATAAAAAGTATAGAGAAACCAGTTTCTACACTATATAAAAATAACTAATGGTTTTATCTGAACACAATGGCACTTAATTTACCTATGCTAAAATTATAGTGAGCGTAGTAGACTTTTAACTAGGTAATTGAATTAAATTACAGGCCATATCTACTCCATATAAATTAAACCCTCACAAAAATAATTTTAACACTGCAAACTGACACTCAGAGTAAACATCCAAGCAATGAACTAGCCTTTCCAAACATAATTCAATTTTAATACTTGCAACATGAAAACGTCTATGCCTTCAGACAGGATTATGAAGCTGTTGAATTTGTTTCTCTCCATAAGCTAAGCATGTCCAGGTTTATCCAGAAAGGCGGTCAGGGCTGCTCAGGACACCTTGATGGCAACCTCATTTGGGCAGTGGGATGGTCCTGCTGAGAACTCTGCTCAAGGACTGGCCACCAGGAGAGAGCAGGACCATTTTAAAAAGCAAACAGAACAAGAGTCAAAATGAAAAAAAATTTTCAAAATTAAAAAAAAATATATCCAGAAAGAAAATCCTGGGCCCACAGCCATTTAAAGAATTAATTTCAATTCTTCCAAAACAGAAAAGAATACTCCTGACTCATTCTTTGAGGCCAGAATTAATCTGATTATCAAAATCAGACAAAGATATTCTAATAAAACTACAGACCAGTATTAGACACAAAAGTCCTCAACAAAATGGTAACCAAACCTAGAAACATATAAAAAGGATTATAAAACTGATAAAGTAGAATCTATCTCATGAACACTGGTTGGTTTAACATCTGGAAATCAATATTATACACAATACCTGTATTAATAGAATAAAAGACCAAAAAAATCACCTGAGAAAGCATTTAATAATATCTTAACATGTCAACAACAACAAAGTTCAACCAACTATGTAACAAAAGGGACATCATGAATGCTATGAAAAGCATCTATAAAAACCCTACGGCCAACATTATACTTACTTGTAAAAGAATGAATACCTTCCTCTGGGATCAGAACAAGGTAAGAATGCCTGCTGCTTTTACTCAACCTTGCTGGAGGTGAGCCAAGGTAATTAGTAAGAAAAAGAAATAAAAGACTTCTACATTGGAAAGGAAGAAGTGAAGCTATATTTGTGGGTGACAAACATCCCAGGGAATCCATTAAAAGACTATGAGAATTAATAAACAAGTTCAGCAAGGTTGTAGATTTAAGATCAATATACAAATATACAAAATAGATACAAAAATTAATTATATACACTTGTAAGCAAGAATCCAGGAAAAAAGTTCTATTTACAATAGGATTTTTAATAAGTAATGCTAAGAAATAAATTTAACAAAAGAAGAGTCAAACATAGATTGTGAAAACTACAAACCCTCATAGAGAAATTGAAGATTTCAATACGCAGGACGTGCCATGAGCACACTGGAACTTAACACTAGAATGGAGATACTCCCAAATCTGATTTAGAGATTCTGCAGACTCCGGACCAAAATCCTAGCTGGCTCATTGCAGAAAGTGAAAAGCCAATCCTAAAACTTCATGCTCAGACTGCCTGATTTTAAAGATTTTAAAGCTCACTACAAAGCTGTAGTACCCAAGAGGGAGTGGTTCTGGCATCAGGATAAACAGAGTTCAAAGGAAGAGAATTGAGAATCCAGAAGTAATCCTCACATTTACAATCAAACTGACTTTTTTTTTTTGGTACCAGGGATCGAACAAGGTTTCTTGCCCTTGCGCAGCAGGCGGCAAAACCACTGAGCTAAATCCCTGGCCCTCAAATTGACTTTTAATAAGGGTGACAAAATAGTTCCACGGGAGAAACAATGGTCTCCAAGACAACTGAATCTCCACGTGTAAAAGTAGCTGGACCCTACCGTACATGGTTTACAAAGATTACCTCAAAATGGAGCCAAGGACCAAATGTAAGAGCTACCATAAAATAAACCATAAAATTTGTGGGAGAAAACAAGGCTCACTCTTCATGACCATGGCCTGGCAGCAGTTTAAGCCTATTTCCAAAAGAAGTGAAAATGGCCAGCATGAAAGTGTGTGTCCACAGCAGGCTTGTTTATGGCAGCATTAGTCATAGGAACCCTGAATGGAAGTGATCCAAATGTCCATCAACTCATGACTGAATTCAAAATATGTTGTTTACCCATGCAACAGAAAATTACTTTGTAAAAAAGGAATGAAGCTAGGTGCTGTGGTGCACACTTAATATCTCAGCACTTGGGAGGCTGAGGCAAGAGGATTCCAAGTCGTGAGCCCAGTGTAGGCAACCTAGCAAAACCCTGCCTCAAAAAATAAAAAATGGTAAACAACACCAACAGCAAAAAAAGCAGAGGCTGGGGCGGGGGCTGGGGCTGTAGCTCACTGTGAAAGCCCTGGGTTCAATCTTTAGTGTGTGTGTTTGGGGTGGGGGGTGGTATATATATGCAGTACTGATACATGCTACAACATGGGTAAATCCTGAAAACATTATGCCAAGTGAAAGAAGCGAGTCACAAAAGGCCACATATTGTATGTAACCCTAATTCTAACCCTAACCCTATATTAGGCAAATCTATAGACACAGACAAATGTGTAAAGATAGAAAATAAAAGTGGATGCCTAGAGATGGGGTAAGGGGGAGTGGAAAGTGAATGCTAAAGGGTACAAAGTTTCATTTGGGGTTGATAAAAAATTCTAAAATTGAAGTCTTCTCGAGGCTACCCAACTTATTAATAGACTAAAAAGCCAATAAATTGTGTACTTTAAATGTTAAGTGAATTATAACTGAACAAAGAAACTATCAAAGAGGGGAAACAAACAGCAAAAGAAGTTGTCTCAGGAGACAAGATTTAGGGAAGCAGATTATATTGCATTTAGAAAAGAAAAATCTGTAGTGTGACTGCTAAAATGCTCTCTCTTCTCTTTTAAAGCGGACATAAGATAAAATGGGGAAGGAGAAAATGTTCTTTCATTTCTGACCTTTTCTTCAATTCTTAATGTATTTTTTGAGTATATAGATACTGGTTACTTTTTGTTTTTTAATTCTTCTTAGGGGAAAAAAAAATCACAAGTTTTTGAATATGCAGCTATCTTAGCTAAAAATTATGTGATACATGCTATGTGTTGCCAGGTACCTAGATGTGTGAGATGAGGCAGACATGAAGAATATGACCTTCAAAGTTTAAGGTCTTAGAGCTTCTGCACTTTGCGTGTTTACATATTTAAACACAGTGCTCAGTCTCCTTTTTGCAAACATGGAGCAAAACTCACGCTATCTAGGATAAAACTAAAGCATTATTAAAAGTTTTCTTAATTCTGTCCAAATTAAGATTAAAAATGAAGATAGCAGCTATGAGGTCCATAACTCAAAATCACCTAGACTCAGGAGGGCAATAAAAAAATCCTGATTGAGTCAAAAACATTGGTCTGGGGCCCCATGAGACACTTCAGTACCATTTACAAACAGGAATGATGTACAAAAAGATGGGAATTGAAGAAAAATGCATAAAATTATAACATGATTACAAATAATAATATAATTCAGCCTTCATTATCTCTGGATTCTGCATCTATGGATTCAATTACCCTGGATAGAAAATATTAAAAAATAAATCACATTTGTATTAAACCCATACAGGCTATTTTTCTCATCAGTATTCCCTAAATAATACACCATAACAAGTATTTATACTGCAATTACATTACCTAAGGTTTTATAATCTAGAGAGAGTTAAAGTATGTGGGGGAAGGTGTGCAGGTTACCTGTAAGGACATGGTTACGTGTGAGCACTTCATCATTTTATGGAAGATTTAATACCCACAGAGCGGCAGGTACCGGTCCCCCACACCCTGGGGGTCCTGTGAGATGATTCTGCCCGATGGCCCAGCTCTCTCAGTGTAAGTACACTCCATGATGTTCATAAAAATAGCAAAACACCTCTTGATGTGTTTCTCAGACACATTACTAAACCACACATTAATGAAATCATATAAAGATATTAAATCTACATGAAGATGCTATTCTTCAGTAAATATAAAAAACATTAGGGAATGATAAGTGTTTCTTTTTAAAAATCAGAGCAAGCTTCAAAGTTGTTAAATTTAAGTTCCTCTGCTGCCTTCTCTGCTATGTGTAGCAAGGAAGTATTACTGATCATTATTACTCATAACATGAGTACAAAATAATTCAAGAGAGGATCAAGAATAGAATTCTGATTCTTACTCTCCCGTCGCTTAGACATGCCCTCATTCTGAAAAGTCAGATTCTTTATTTAAGTAGACAAAAATGCTGAGCCTAAAGGAGATTTCCTGTAAACTTGGCTCTGTTCCCATTACCACCTGTTTTACCCTTTTGTAAAGGAGCTCAGTGGAAGACTACACAATAGGATGAATGCTTCTAAGTGGCATATGAACACTCACAGGGACTCCTATGAGCTTGAATCAAGAAAAGGATCCATTTCTGACTAAAACCCAAAACTCACTCGACTTTGTGATGCTTCAAATGTGGAATGGCATCTCTCTTACAAATCACAGTTCCAACTTGCAATATATAGTGGCATTTCTCCTTATTCTGACAGTTTGATTAAAATTTACACAGAGCTAAGGGGTTTAAGCTGAAGAAAAGTGCATTCAGTATCTAAAACTCTACAGCAATTGCTTTTCCAGCGGAGTTAATCATACTTACGTCAACATCCTCTTGGGTGAAAGTTTCTGGGTCCTCCCCCATCATGTGGGCTAAATGTCTCTTTCCTATGTTGAACTCTTCAATCTGTTTTTTAATAAAGTCCTCTGTGTACGTCTCGCGTCTGGAGGCAGGAACACCTTTCTTTGTTGTTACAACTGTGGTATGTATTAGCCTTGATATCTAACAGAAAATAGAAAAGGAAAGAAAAGCTTTGAAATTAAACAGAGCTCTAATGTGCCACTGTCTCTAAATAAAACAGGATATTCACATAGTTATCTTTTTTATTATGAGACTCAGTGGACAGGAGGCCAGAACCAGAGTCCAGAAACAGCTCCCTGTTCAAAAGCTTGCTTACCAACTAACTAGGTTAACCTACCATGGTAGCAGAGCAACACATTATTGTAAAAAATACCCAAGAAGAATGCAACAGACCCTTGTGTGCTCTAGCATCCACACTGGGCACTGGTTGGCCAAGGGCAGCAAGCCATGACATTTGCCACATGGAGCAGAGTAAAAAGCCTCTCCCTTAAGAAGAGGCAAACATACCTGCAGGTGAGCAGAACACCTGGGAGCAATGGGCAGGTACTTGGGCACGGAGCCTAGACAGTGGGTACTCAGCCTGCTGGAGGGAAAAGTTCTGCCTAATGTCTTCTCGTAGGCTGCCTCAGAATGGGGTTTTATCCTTTGGTTCTTAGACATGGTGAAGAAACTGATACAATGATGAAACTGTTTCACTAAATGCTGTGACAAGTTCTTATTAATTTGGTTCAATATGTTAACTGGAAATAAAACTATCTTTTTAAAAACAACTAATTATATTACACTTATCACACTTGGTGCTATAGTCATTTTTGCTGTGACATTAGGAATTTCCTTCTGTAACATTAACATTTCTCCTTCAATAAAGTGTGTTAAAGAACCAGAAAAAAAGTTTTAAATGATACTCTGCTCATTCAGTAGCTAGATTTAACTAAAACAGATCTGGCCTGGCTTTTCTTAAGATCTTATCCTTGCCCTGACAATTCTAAATACTCTAAAGCCATATTCAGATTTTAACACTGCAATCTTAGTAATCTACTCACTTCCCTTTTCACGAACATAAAAATCACACATACAGCCCATCCATCAACCCATTCCTCCATCTTTCCTCTTCCCCCTTGAGTATCCTCTACAGTAATTCTTCACTATAGTTACAATAGTAGATATGATTTAAAAATACAGAAGGGGGCCGGGGGTTTAGCTCAGTGGTGCTGGTGCCTGCCTCACAAGCGCAAGGTCCTGAGTTTGATCCCTGGTACCAAAAAAACCAGGAGAAATATTACAACGTCCAATTAATGGTAAAAATTATAATTAAAATTCAAATTAACATAGTGAAAAGTTTCTTCTAACTCTTTAATAGGTAAGAAAGGGCAAGTAAAAATTCCATGAAGCCAGGTGTGGTGGTGCACACCTCCAGCACTCTGGGAGGATGAGGCAAGAGGATCAATGGTTTGAGCATAGCCTGAGCCACTCAGTGACTTAGAGACCCTGTCTCAAAACAACAACACCAGAAAAAAATCCATGAAACTTTATGGTTTATTTTTCCTCAGGCAAGTATACAAGAGTTTCTCCTTATTAAATGTTATTAATAAAGACTGTATTTTCTTACAATGCTTTGTGAAGACAATGTTACTGTGGATGAGTTAAAACAAGCCCACAAGGTGCTCCTGTACACAGCAGCCCCTGCACGGGAGGCTTGCTCTCTGGTCCAGTTACCTGCAGCTCAAGCTGAGTGCAGCACATGAGACATTCTGAGGGCAGACAGACCACATTCTTCTACTTTCACTACTATGTAATGTTACACCTGTTCATCTGACTATCAGTTATTGTTGCTCATGTATTTTTATGTCTCAGTCACACACTGAACTTTATCCCAGGCATGCTGCACTGGGAAAACAGAGTACACAGACTTTGGTGTTCTCTGTGGAGAACACACAGGGAGTCACAGGGAGTCCTCAGGTCACCCCTGTGGTAAGGGCAACTTGCTCTTTTATAGATGCAGCTCATTTTTACACCCTGCCCATGGCCAAGTACCATACATACTAACTCCCCACCCTAGTAGTTTTATCATCTCCTCTTCTTAATGTTTTGCAAGATTTGTTTTTGTTTTATATGTTTCCATGTTCGCTTTGAACAAAATAGAAGGCTTCTTCCTATATTCAAAGTGAACAGCAAGTGCCTTTTTGCCTCAGAGATTAGGCAAAGGATGAAGTTGGGCTGAAAAGCAACAGTCACATGGAGAAGCAATTCTCCCAAGTGCTCTGTGCCAGAAGGATGATTACCCTGCCGGTTTTGTAAATCACAGGACAGGATGTTTCTTCCAACTCATTAAAAAAGTGAGTCTAAGTTCAAGCAAAATCCTGAATATACTCTTCTAGGTCACTAACACTTTTCTGGGGAGAAGAAATGAGCCTCCTGGTGTGCGGCTCCGTTCTTGGAAGGAAGGAATTCTGGAGGAGAAGCAAGATCCAGAGGTAAGAACAGAGTTCAACTTTGGAAATGATGGTTTTGAGATGTCTGATGGCATGTGCACTGAGGGCTAAGGAGAGCTACCTGTCTGTCAAAAATCTCGAGGACATGATGCCACACCAGGCATTAACCAGTGTTAGAGGAGAAGGGGCTCTCTGCTACATAAAGAAACAAAGTAACTTACAAGCAAGAGGGGCAGACAGAAAGGTAAAGTTACTGTATAGTTTCTTTGGAAAGTAGGAGGTGAACTGATTTGCTGAGAGGATGAGCAGTCAGTTTGATAAACTGCATACTTTATGTTCAAAGGGCAATGATGCACTGTATAAAGTGTAGACAGAATCGCTTCTCGGCCTTTTGGCTAAGATCAAGTGAAGTGTAGACAGAAAGGCTGAAAGACTAGAAAAAAAATTTAAGTATCCATTCCTACTGAATGTGAGCTAGGAGAACACTAGGAAAGAAACCCACACTACATCTAGTATTTTGTCAATGATCTTTTCTTTTCCTATAGATTTCCTTCATAGGTTTCAGTGATAATTCTGATGCACTGTTTTGTTCCAGAAGTTACATCTTAGGGTAGATTGTAACCTTCAGCATTACAAAGTTTCCCAGCTCCCATGAAATACTTTTTATCACAAATTCAATTCTGTTGAAACAGTGTAACACTGAAATATTGTAACCCTTTCGAGCACCCAATTAAATCTCCCTGAAATATCCTTTTCATCTAAATCTTATGGCATTTTGGGGATTTATGAGTTAGGCTTGCAATGGGCACCTGCAGTCAGGGGTGGAGAAATGCAGACCAATAGTCTGTGATCTGAAGAGCCACAAGATTCAGTCTAAGGTCGAAGACCTGGAGCTCACTGCAGTCTGGTGCAAGTTTGTTCCGGGAAGGAACTGGAGACCAACATCCAAAGGCAATGGTGAAGATCAGAGGCCCTCCAAAGAAAAGGGGGAAACTTCCTTCTTCTTCCCCTTGTTATTCCGCCCAGGCTCCAAGCCTATTGGTTGGTGCCACAAACATGTGGGGTGGGTCTTCCCTCCTCAGTGTGTGACCCACATGTCAATCATCTGCCAGGCAGCTCTTACTTAAGTCAAGCTGACAAATAACAATTAATGATCATAGAGGTTTTTTTTCTTTTGACACAGTTTGAGTTTTTAATAGACAAAACCTTAAGTGGGTTTTAACAGCCATTCTGTCTTATTAAACTTATATTTACATTTTTAATGCTTCCTATTTTCTTTTGGTATATGGCATTTTTAAAAAGTTTGTCAATTGCAGTTTGGACACTACACAGCTTGCTCTTATTTTACTAGGATGCTTCAGAATAAAATGTTTAAATGTAGTTCTCCTATGAACTCTGGAAATAAAGCCACATGCACTGAATTCTCACCAACTCACCAGCAGTGATTCACTCTCTGTCCTCCTTGTGCACTGGTCTAACTTCCTGTCTCTTACTTCTGCACCTGTACAGTTTTTATGGCTTTACTTCGTGGTATCCCCCTCTTTCCCAAATGTCTGTTCCTCTTACTGCAGCCACTGTGAATTTTCAACTTTCTGTATCTTCAAAACTCAAGCCTCAACAATTTTTTTATCTTATCTTTTTGTCTTATCCCACCCCAAAGCTTTAAGAATGTCTGCACCAGTATGAACAGTGTGGTAAAACAGTGGCCCCCTCCATCCATGAAGGAGACTTTTCAAGGTTCCTGGTGGATGCCTGAAACCATAGGTAACACCAAGCCCTACATATGCTCTGTTTTCTCCCATTGTATATACCTATAAAAACATTTATTTTATACATTAGACACTGAAGCAATTAATAACAATAGTAAAACAGAACAATTACAAACATATGTTGCAGTAAAAACTGTAGGTAGGGTCTCTCTTGAAAGAGTCAAGACAAGCATGTTTGGACTGCAGTTGGCAACAGACAACTGAAACTAGAGAAATCAAAACTGTGGATAAAGGGGGCCTAATGTAACCTTCCATTTTGTTGAGTAATTTTCTTCATTTATCTTTTCCTCTTCATCTTTAGTTCCTAAAACATTTTAGTATTTTCTCAAAAAAAAAAGGGTTACTATTGACTTCCAAGATTTTTTTCTTCAATTGTTATAAAATGTTACGTCTATTTACATTCTTCAGGTTTTTGACCCAAGAGGTCAGTTTTCCTAGTTTTAACATAAATGAAGCCTAAATATATTTACAGAAGTTTTATTGTTGTTCATTTAGAAAGGCCTTGAAAACATGTCCCTAATTTGCTATTTATCATAAAAGTTCTTTAGGATCTTTTCAAAGACATATCTACGCAATGTTCAAGAATATGACATCCTGAAAATTCACAATCTTTTTATATTTGCAATATAATATCATGGCATGGATACCAGGTTATTCAATATATCTGTCAAAGCTCTAAATTACTCCAGCAAGGAACTCATAAAAAATCTTTACATTCAAAGAAGTCCATCATGTTGCTAGTACAATTCATTATGTAACATGAGGTTGGGAGTATGCAAAGAACAGATCTTTAGCCAAAAACACAAAGACTTCCTGGAGAGAATTTCTTTGCCACTGTTAAGAACAATTCCCAGCAAAATTTTCTACAGGTTTCATTTCCAACCAAAAAGCCAGGAGGAGAGAACTCTCAACAGACTCTGTGTTTATGGAACAGTACAGATACAACCCGACAGATTTGTTTCCTTATGAAGACAACCAGTGGGTCACACAACTATGATTTCACACAAGCAGGCTGCCAAAGAAGCAGACACATCCTGCCAGCAGTGCTGTCCCAAATGGCCACGTGCCAGCATAACTCTACTTTAATGGTATCACCCAAGTATTAAGGAGTTTTGGTTTAATTGGATAAAAATGAAACAAAGAATATGCTGCTAATCTGACTAGAAAAGGAAGAAAAATGACTATGAGGAATTTTTAAAAAGGTAAAGATAGATTGAAGTCAGATTAGAGAAACTGTGCACAGAAAGAAACAACAAAAGGACTTGAGAGCGTGATTATAGTGACCTTTCTGAACAGGCTTACACTTAGTCAGTTAGAGGCCCCTCTGTGCAAGCCAAAGAAACCACTTTGATTTACCTATGTTCTTAAGAGGGCTGTTGTTAGGACCTCATAGGAAGAAACTTGAAAGAAGGCCAGGTCCACGGACTCTGGCAGCTGAAGAGGGGAAGCCCAGTGACCCAAGCAGGCGCAATGTTGGGGGAAAGGTTGTTCAGGTGAAACCAGCTCCACCCGTGTCGCCCCCAAGCTCCAGATCTCCAGGTGGGACAGTCTAGTGGGATATCTGGGTGAGATGCCAGATTATAGTACTGGTGGAATATTCAATGGAAAAGAACAAATTCCTCCAGAGGAAACCGGGGTGCTGTCATGAGGGAAAACGAATGCTAGATTAAACAAACTAGGAAATTCACTACATTGCTGAAAAGTTACCATGTTCGGTCATTTGCAAACTTAGAAATTAAGACTTAACACACTTATCAATCAAATAAAATGAACAGACTTTGCTTGAATGACTGAAATGAGCCAACTATAAAAAGTTATTATTTGGACAATCACAGAAATTTGAACTAGGAATGGGTAATAGATGATATGAAATTATTGTTCATTCTGTTAGATACAGTAGTGGCATGGAAGCTATGTTTTTAAAAAAGAGGGCCAGAGATTTAGCACGGTGGCACCATGCCTGCCTCACAAGTGCAAGGTCCCAAATTCGATCCCTGGTACAAAAAAAAAAAAAGGTATCTGTTGGAGATGTGTATTAAAGTACAAGTAAAATAAAAATGTCTTGAATTTACAATGACCAACTTGGTGAAGGTGGAAAGGAAACAGGACTGATAAAGCAAAAATTGTTGATGCTCACTGACAGAAACATAGGAGTCATTATATTCTATTTTTGTATATGATGTTTTTCATAATAAAATTCTAAAAATTAAACTATTTTACAAGTTTATTTAACAAATTTGAGCAACTTCTATTGGCTAGGCTGTTACTAGTTTTTAATAAAGCAAAATTGAGTGGTGTTAAAATAAGGATTGCCACAATGAGTTATTAATCCTATCTGGCAAAAAGAATAACAATTAAAATGATTAAAATGATTAAAACAAATAATTGATAATTTGAAATAGGAAGAAAAGGTGCAAAGAGGTAAGGGTGATGGGAGGAGAAGGGGGAAGGAAAGAAGGGAAAGGAAAAATTATGAGAAAAGAAAAAAAATGGAAATGAAGTCTACGTAAATAGGGAAGGGTGGAGGGGGTGAAGGGCGCACAGGTAATGGGGAAAAAATAAGAACCAAGATACATCATGTACAGGTACAAGCACCCAATGATAAATGTAAACATATTATATACCTAAAATGTACCAATAAAAGAATTTTAAGAAAAAAAAAAAGAATAACAGAACAGGTGTGATATGTACACATATGAGGATACACATATACGTATACACCTACACATACATACACACATAGTAATTCTTCACAAGTATTTTGGGTTTTGGAGGTTTGAGACAGGGTCTTGCTCTATTGCCCAGGTTGCCCTGGAATTCCTGGGCTCACAAGCTCACACCATCTTAGCGCCTTTAACTCTGATTGCTGAGGCTTCAGGCACGCACCACATACCAGGACCACATGTTTATGAGACAGTGAGGAGTGCTGAGCTCCCCGCAGACCCTGTGCTACAGTAGGCATCCTGGCGGGGATACAAAGGCTTTGGGCTAAGCTATTCTTATCCTTAAGAAGTTTACAGAGCAACTACATGACAAAGGCCTGAACACGTCAGACACTTAAAACAATAGCACAAGAAATACAAGAGGGTCTTCTGTTGTCCACAGCTCTGAAAGGACTTCTGGTAGTTCTTCCACCTGGGGCTGATGCCCTTGTGTGACTGACCCCTTCCTCCTAAGTGTAGGCTGAACCTAGTAACTTGATTCTGATAAGCAGATCACAATTAAAAAGATACATGGCACTTCTGAAATTAGGTTCCAGAAAACTCTTGTCCTCCCTCTTTTTTACTTTCTCTTTTTTTTTTTCTTAAATTCTTTTATTGGTACATTTTAGGTAAATAATACGTTTACATTTATCATTGGGTGCTTGTACCTGTACATAATGTATCTTGGTTTTTATTTTTTTCCCCATTACCTGTGCGCTCTTCACCCCCTCCACACTTCCCTATTTACATAGACTTCATTTACCTTCTCTTAATCAAAATGATAGAAGGCAGATACTGTGAGTTCCCTTACAGAAGTGTTTGGTGTCCAGAATACAGGGAGGATGCTGGTCAGTTGCTAGCAAAGAACTGGAGCCAACAGCCTGCGAAGATCTAAATCCTGCTAAGGGTCACAACTGAGACAGCTTGGAAGTGGATTCCCCCAAGTTGGGCCAACACCGGACTGCTGCTGTAGGAGACCCTGGGTAAGAAGACCTGACAAAGCAGGCCTCAGGCTATGACCTCCAGAAACTGGGGGATAACAGTGTCTGCTGTTTTAAGCTGCTAAATTTTTGGGTAATTTATTATGCATCAATAAATAATACAGAAGGGGCCGGGGATTTAGCTCAGTGGTTTCACCGCCTGCTGCACAAGCACAAGGTCCCAAGTTTGATCCCTGGTACCAAAAATAAATAAATAAATAATACAGTCACCATCCTAATTACAATAATGAAGCAAAATACAAAAAAGTGTTTATTTTATTCTATAAGGAAAAGAGAGGTGGAGATGGTGGTAGCATCAGGCTTTCTTTAAGTGAGAAATTTATAATCGCTCCATAAGGAAAACAGATTTTAATATCAAGGCATTTTCATAATTAAAACAAGGAGGAACACTAGATTCTATCCTTACAAGGTCAGGATAAGATCTCAAAGGGATCAACTTATGTGCCAAAGTTTTCATTTTCATTTTCATTGTTAATAAACTGGGAAAGTACACACACACACACACACACACACACACACACACACACACACTACTTGAGAGGGGACATAAGTAATTTATAGGGCTGTATAAAGTATCTAATGAAGATGTAACTTAATTTTAATTTTTTCAAAGCATTTTAAGCCATTTATCAAAAAAATTGTTAAGGCATTACTGTAAACCTAAGGGAGGCTGTGATAAATATAGAATGTTCTAATCTCCAAGAGTCCATGCGTTGAAAAGATTCTTTACATAGAGACAGGAGTGTGCTTACAATGAAACCAAAATATGTCACTCATCATTCTCTGGAATATAGTCCAAATCAACAAAGGCATATTGGTTAGGTAAAATTGGAAGGACGAGGCATTAAGAAAGTGCTTAGTGAAAAACTAAAAATTAAGAAGCTATCCTACCAATACTTTTAAAAACTGGTCTACTGCTTTTTCATATATAAAAATCAGAAATATAAAGAAAGCTGGATTAGCACTTGTATATTAAGTTATACTAATAGTGGACTGATGAATTCATGGGTAACTTTTGTAGGACTCCAGTAAAGGGATTTGTCAAGTGCTCACAGTGGAACAGTATTTTCATTTATGTCAGGTAAAAAAATTGAAGTATGTTTGCATAGCAAAGCAGATCCTACTCTGACTCCTGCCAAACTTTCTAGTTCCACTCGTCACCAGGGAAACCTAAATGAGCCCTCTGGCTTCACTTGCTTTTTTCACCAACTATAGAGGTCACATACCCAAGCAATGTACTCACATTAGTTTGCTATAGGTAACACCTCTGCCACCTGGATCACGGTGGTGACAGTTGCCTAAATTGTTTTAAGGACTTTGAAGGTAACTCATATCAGTTGAAACCACCCACCCTTCTCTTGGGCCTGTGGAAATGTGTGATGACCTAGCTTTTGATGTTACAAGGTCAAAATTCTACCCTTGGAGTAAGCTAACACTGCCATGTGTCCTGAACATGGGTCCATGAAGAGCCACGGAGTTGCCTAGCTATAACTAAGCCACTCATTACTTCCCTTTTCTCTACCTCTGATCACTTTTCTCCATGCCTCCAACCACCCTGCTTTTTTATACAGTAGGACCCCTAAATTTTATCCGCAGGAAGGCAGATTTGAGAGTTGCTCTCCTGTGTTTACACGTTTTGGCTACCTTGTGAATCAACAGCCTTGTAGAAACTCGTTTCAATGATCAGTATACTATGTGGTGGACAAAACATGCCTGGTTAAATTACAGCATTCTCTCAACAAGTCTTCAGGCCCCGCAGGGGTACAGTTCCCCTCCAGCCCCAGACCCACCCCAAACCCTGGCACCCACGCACACAGTCGGGAGGGTCGCTGGGCCTCAGCCACTCCGCAAAACCTGGCTGCAGAGGGGAGACTGCTCGAATGCCCACTTCAGCACTCAAGCTCAGACTCCCCTCCTAGGACCTCCGGTCCCCGCCTGAGGACACGCGAGCCGCCGGGGAAGTTGGCTTCGCTGGCCCCACGACCACGGCCTCCAGTTCTCCCAGGCCTTACCTGGGGTCCGGTACCTGCTTGCAGGCCAGCCGCCAAAGCTTTCCAGGGCTCTTGGCTCCGGGCGAGGATGACCCGACTCCCGAGGAAGAGCCTGCAGGAAAGAGATGAGCTACAGGACACACAGGGCGCCGCCATGTTGGCCGCGAGAGACCCCCCCCGCCACGGCTGGGCGGGGTAAAGGGGGCGGGGCAAACACTGCAAGGCGCTTCGCGCCGTGCCCCCCCCCCCGGCTGTTGGGAGGAGTAGAGGGCGTGTCCTGCGGCGAATCTCCCCGCTGATTGACTACGGGGCGTGCCTGGCTCCACCCCTGGGCGGGGTAACCGGAACTGAAGACGGGCATTAGCGCTCTGCTTTATTCACAGACCTGGATCCAGGTCTTGCATCTCCTGGACTCACATGTTCACGAGGCTCTCTAACGAGCTCTTCCTTCTGGGTCCACTGCTGCACCGCCAGCCGCCTCTCTCTGAGCCCTGGCCGAGCGGCAGAGGCTGTCAACCGTACCTCCCGCCCTCCGCGTTCTCCGCACCTGCAGCTCCTCCAAGTCCTGGCTCGCGTCCCGTGGCCCCAGGGCCGAGATGGCTGCACGCCTGCCCTTCCTCCGACTGCCCACGCTGCTCGGGGTCCTGGTCGAGACCGTCTCCGACACCTGGCACTCACTGTCACACGGTGTCACTCCAGGCTGAAGACCAGCACCGCCCAGAGCCCTGGTACTTCCTACCAAATCACATCCAATAATCCACTCTTGAAGGGCTTCCGAACCCGAAAATCAGTAAAACGCACACACAAAATCTGAATCGTGCAAAGTGATCGAGCAAACAAACGCCGCGTATATCATCATCTTACAAGGCATTTTAACATGAAAGCAGTAGAAATAGCATAATTTCAGAATAAATATCAGTGCTTTAAATGGAAGGCACGTAGTTGTATGAGAAGCTCACACAGTTGATTTCATTGTTATGTTTTAAATGAGTGAAAATTTCTTAAGAAATGGCAGGGGTCCATGAACTAGCATTTGGGAGTCAAGACTATAGCTCAAGAAAACAGATGTCTTTAAATATCAGTTCTTACATATTGCAGAATTTTTAAAAAATGAAATGTTTTTTATATGAGATATATTCTTTATTAAACAATTCATTAAATGATTCATTGAAAATTTTCACAAATTTCAAAGCATG